GTCGGGTCCCATATACAGATGGCCGGTTCGCTCACTGGCTGAGCGTGGTGCTGACAACACCAAGTCAAGGGTTCAGATCCCCTTACCGGTCATCTTTAAAAAAAAAAAAAAAATCGTTACCTTATTCTCAATAGGGCGTCAAACAAAACCACATTAAGGTCCCAGCTACTTGGTTAATTAGGTTCTCCTCCAACTCAGCCACAGGAGGGTGACATGGGTGTTTTCTCTCTCTCTCTTTTTTTTTTTTTTCCTAATTAGTAAATATACCTCACTTAGGCTTGCTTCATTGCAACTCCCATTTGGAAAAGAAAAACCTGCCTGGAGACCAAAATGAACATATTGTAAAAATTTGTGAGGATTTAACTGAATAATGGGTGAGAGAAAATAGCTCATTCCTGCTAATTCAAACCAAAAGGCATCAGTTCTTAAGAACAGGGAAAGTTTGGTCATGAATCATTGCACAGCATTTATCTGTGCTGCCTGAAACAACAGAATCCTGTAATAAGTCTCATTATAAATATGAGTAATTACAGTATATGTTTTAACATGAATTCAGCATTCTACAGGTAAAGTCATGTCCCCTAGAACCTTACCATAGAAGGTAAAAGCCTAATAGAGAGTAGTTACTCTGTCCCTCTTTGGAAAAACTGAAGAAATCACACCAACAACTCAACCTAGAGATTATTCTTAAGCAGGCTATACGCTCCATACAGCTGAGAGATAGTATTTTCCCCAAATAATGATAATGTTACTAATTTATCATTGGCTAGTCCCTTGCAGATTACCAAAGTCTGTCACCTAAACTTCTAAGAAATATTACAGGCGATGAAACATTTGCTTGGTCACCAGCTAGCAAATAACAGAACAAGGGAGCACGGTAAGAGAGAAAGAAACACTGGGCTTTGGGGTCAGACAGACTCAGGACTGGATCTCAGCTCAACTAATCCCAGCAACACTAACCTGGTCAAGGTACATAACCTCTTTGAGCCTCATGGAACGGGCAATTCAGGATATTAGAAAACAACTGTAGACAGGAAGTTTATCTTCATATATCAACATAACGAGCATTTAACTTATCTACAGGATTCATAATTGTTTCTCAAGAAGAAAAAAAAAAAAAGACCAAAATTAAATATTTTTAAAAGAGTGGTAACACGTCCCCTCACCTGGGAGAGGTGGGGGTGGGAAAAAAAAGACCGGTAACAGCCAAAGTCACTACATAATTTTAATATATCTGGAAGCCCTCAAGGTGATAAAAAGTTTGAGAACGTACTGACCTCAATTCATCCCTCTTGTCTCACATCCCTTCCCCCATTCAGTTCAACCAACAAAAGGCACTTCCAAGTACATTTCTTTTTTATTTTCAATGTCACAGTGTCACTTTAGTTTAACCAAAGGTTAGAAGGAGTAAGAACTACAAAAGAAAGGGGTATGAACTGCAAAGAAAAGGAAAATGAAAAAAAAAAAAAAGGAAACAAAAACAACTGAGAAAAAATACATTTTCACACAAATCTGGGTTCTCTTCCAAAGAGATCATTAAGATATTTCATTATCTTACTGCTATAAAGTTTCCAAGTGGCCACTTGTTGATAAAACAGTATTTATCAGACACAGAATGTCTTCTCCAGCTCCACCATTCACATAGGCAGCGGTATGTGCTGAAGTCCAGCAGCGTGCGCTGGCAAATGTGCTCTCAAGTGTCAGCTTAGAGTCACCTTCACCCAAAGCATGGTGTCCATTAAATTTCTAATACAATTCCCAAAGGGAGGAATGCCAGAAAACGTTCCTCTAGTCTTAAGGACTCTCTCTCTCTCTCTTTTTCAGTGGTAAAGTTTTTCTTTGCTTAAGGTTTAATAATTATGTATACAATTTTTTTTTTTTTTTTTATTAAAAGATGACCGGTAAGGGGATCTTAACCCTTGGCTTGGTGTTGTCAGCATCACGCTCAGCCAGTGAGCGAACCGGTCATCCCTATATAGGATCCGAACCCGTGGCCTTGGTGTTATCAGCACCACACTCTCCCGAGTGAGCCACGGGCCGGCCCAATAATTATGTATATAATTTACCTGCACCACTGACTGCGGGAAATTCCAGTTGTTATTGCCCTTTGAGTTTTTCAAATAATTGTATTTACTATAAGGTGCTCAGAATCTGAGAAGTACAGGAAAAGAGTATCCTTAGTAAGCACCTTTAGGCTGCAAGCACGCATAACCAATAAGGGCGAAAAGATCCCCAAATGTCAAAATACCTTTTACCCCTGAAGCACTCATTTCTTTTTCCTAAGACCTAGGCCTGGAGAAGAAACCTGATTAAAAATGCAAGCCGCCTTCGGAGAGAACCTTAGACCGTGGCCCTGAACGCGCGCTGTGCAGCGGGACCGGGGGCTGCGGGGGTCCCGGCCGGGGTTCCGGGCGCTCGCTAGCTGCCCCTGTCCTCGGGCTCGCTGCAGGGCGAAGGCGCCGAGGAGGCCTTGGACTCGCCGTCGCTGTTGCATTCAGTCCTGCGCTGGGGGACGGCGCCGGCCGGGCCCTCCTGCCCCCGGGCGTGGCGCTCCAGCAGCTCCTGC